TTATATTGAGACATATTTTTGGCATAGAAAGTGATCGAATTGGAGAATGATGTCTGAATAAAAGTTGTAGCCAGATGTGTTAGCTTTCCAACGCATTTTGAATCGCCTCAATCGAATAACGGAATACAAAGTTATGATAAAAACACTGAATGAAGGTGCAGCTGCCTGTTTAAAACAAGAAATTCCGTTACATAATCAGTTAAAACAACAAATTCCGTTAGTTTTTCCGTTAAATCAACAAATTCCGTTAAATAGACACTTTTTATATATAGAAAGTGGTTGATAGTGCACTTTTTATGTTCATGTATACTAATTAATTTATGTTTATGTGACTTTAATTTTTCAAAGACAGAGATATTTCACTGAAACTAGAGTTTATGCTCATTTCTCTCATCTCAAGGAATATGTAGTTCAACTATTTAACAAACATCAAAATTGGGAACGTTATGCTCATGAATTTCGAGAATGTCAAAGAAAAATGGCGGAAATAAATCAAACTATTCCTCCACAGATTTGGCCAGACTATAAAGATGATGCTCCATGGGAATCTTGCCAGTAGATTACACTTAAAGAATTTCAAAAGACATTCAGATGTAATAGGAAAAACGTCTTCAAAGATTTTATACAGTAAGTAACCCAAGGTATGATTATACATTCAATTATCAATGGGGACAGCTGTATCTTGGAAGACTTACACAAAGCCTTGGCGAAACATCCAAATATTCAGAGAGAACTCCAGAAAGAAGCCAGCTAAGGAAAAAAATGGAAATTGCAAGACAACTTCTTGACACCTTACATCGTAGTATGGATAAAGAAAAAGAATTTATTGAAAAAGAAATTGAAAAAATCGTCAATGAAAAAAATGCAGACATTTAGGGTCTTCAACATAATAATCCATTGAAAATTGAAAAAGGAAAAGAAAAAGCAGAATCAAGTAATCAGTCAGAAAAAAGGAAAAAATCAATGGATATAGGAACGAGCCAGCTCAACTATGATGATAGCATGCTACAAGACTCACAAGACCCATATGAAATTGATTCAACACAACTCATGAAACTGTTAAAACCACATGAACCCACAAACACTCAAGAACCATGGCTGAATCAACATGGTTTGCCTCTACGATCAGATGATTATATGAATTTGGACACACCATGACAGATCGTGAACTTTATTAAAGCAAGATTCGTCTTTTGTAAAAGTTGTTTGTCTATTTGCTGAGTAATTTGTCTGTTTGTATAAATTATTGTAACTAGTATCTTTCTTTATAGAAGAAAGATAAGATGAGTTATAAAGTTAGAATTGTGGTGTAAAATAATACCGCGTGTCCATCTTGTCAGAAACGTGTGAGTCTCGTGTTTTTTTTTTATGCTCTTCTTCCTCTATAAAAGGATAGCTCTTCCTCATTGTAAGATATCGAAAGTTCAGAAATAAAATTCCAGTGTGTTTTAATCATGATATCATTCTTCTAAAAACCCTTCAGTTCTTTCTTTGTTTTTGCAAAGTATGAGATAATCATATGTTTGAATGATATGGAGTAAGATCTGAGTATAAGCATAAGTATGCTCTGCAGTTGCAACTTCATAGTGAACCTCTGCATCAGAAAGTGTTATACTGACTATATGATCCGTCCAATGGTACAATGATTCTATAAGAAATCCAAAAGTCAGGCCCTTTGTTGACTGGTGCGTCTGTGTGGGCTAGAATACCGAGATTTCTTGTAGAATTCTGTCACTCTGCCTATTATGAAGAAGTAGAGCATCTTCTGTTCCTTGAGACTGTGTAAAATCAAGAGAATGATTTTGAATTCTGTACACCATTTGATAATGAAGAGTAGCCGCATATGTGACAAAAGATGGTACGCTCCAACTATTTGGACTTGAACTTTTAAGGCTGTGAGTAATTTTGAATCTGATATAGATATTGAAATTTGGAAACATTATCACCAAAACAGTTCCAACATTAAGAGTTGTTTCTACAGTTCCTATGCACGCATGCTGGTACTCAGTGAAACGAGTATCAAGCAAGACAATCCTTGAAACTGTAGGGAGACTTTTTCTTCCATGAAGAGTTAAGGCAAATCTAACAGCTCCAAAGTGGAGATGCGTATAACCTTCTGATAACCAAACTCTAGGAAGATGAGAGGGCATTTCAAGTGTAACAAATTGCTCTTTTTCTGTAGCGGGCAGAAGATGTTGATCAAACTTTGTAGCTTGAACAAATTCTTTGGCTTGGGATTTTTTAAGAGAGATAAGACTACGGACGGTTTTAGATATAGATTGATGGGGTTTTGTATATAAAGGTATGGGTTTACAAGAGAAAGATATGTGAGTGGGGACTTTATCAGATTCAGAAAAATAAGATATGTCATAGAGATATTCCATCTTAGATGCATCAGATTTTCTAAAAGATGAGGAGGAAGAAGAAGAAGAAGAGCTGAAGAGGATTTACACAACAAGATATGGATAGTATTTTCTGAAGAAGACATGTTTGAAAAACATTCATCCTTAGTTTTTGTTTAGTACTTGATAGTATAAATTATCCTGATATGAGTAAGATAACAACATGACTCTGATACCAAATAGGCGGAGTTACAATGATTCTATAAGAAATCCAAAAGTCAAGCCCTTTCTTGACTGATGCGTCTGTGTGGGCTAGAATACGGAGATTTCTAGTAGAATTCTGTCACTCCGCCTATACCTATATTACTCATCTACTTAGGTTGAACAAATACCCAATTCCAATAAGGGTCCGTTTGATTGCAAAGCAGGAAAATGGATCGAAAGAAAATATTTTGTAGGGAATTGAATTGTTTAAAAATTATTTTACTGGAAATTGTAATTAATTGTGTTTAATTGGTNTGGAAAACCAATTCCCACCAAAATGGTGGGAAATGATTTTCCACAAAATCAAAGAAATTGTAAGCATGTGAGGCAAAGTAAGAAAATTAGTTTTAGGGAAAACTTTGTCTATCAAATGAGGCAAAAGATGGAAAATGGAAAATTCCATTTTTCATGGAAAATCTATGCTAATCAATATAGCCTAATAGTAAATTTTTGGTCAAATTGAAAGTTATCCCCTAATATATATTAAATTATATTTTCTTTGATCGGCTCTAACTTATCCAAAATAATTTTTCTCAAACTTAAAATATATGATTTAATATGATTTATCCAACAAGTTCAATATTGATATACAAAATCTCGCTCTATCAATATCTAATTATTTGATTAAAATAAAATTGATTTTATTGCTATTTCACTTAAAACCCTCAACTTTTCAAATTATAAAAATATAGCACATAGAACAAATAAATTTTATTGTATAAAATTTTAGTGACGTTACACTACCCATCCTTCGACATTTGGTACCTTGGAACACTACATTATACCAATCCGTGTTTATGGTTGTAGGGACCATTTTAGAATCGCCTTCCAACACACCCAACCAAATAATACGCCTTCATTAGGCAAATAGTTAAAGGCACTATCACTTGGACATCTTCACTTTCACTCACCTATCACCAGTAGTTTCTCCACATGGAGACATGTTTAAAAGAATGAATTTGAGGAAGAAGAAGGGGGAAGAGTAGTAGTTTCATAGCTAAGTTCTATAGAAGCCTTTAGATCATAACAGTTGAAGTAGAGAACAAATAATTTCGTAAAGGCATAGTAAAGAAGAAGGAAAAACAATAGCAATCTACGCCACTTTCATAGGCACCTTAATCAATTGGCAGCCATTGGATGGGTTGCTATAGGATTTCAATGCCCCCACGTCACGCTTGTAGTGCACTGACCATAATCATTATGGCACAAGAAATGGAACACGTCATTTAAATGGAAATTGTCTGTCACTCCACGTCACTCCAATATCACTTTGTCCATTTGTACTATGAAAGCTAGCCATGTCAACGAATCGAATCAAGTCGAATCATGAGTCGAAACTCAAAGAGCTCGAGCAAAACAGGTCCGGACTTCTTTGAGTCCAAGCCGAGCCGAACCGAGCAAAAGCTCTGCCAAAAAAATGAAGTTCAGCTCGAGCTTTCTGCTGGAGCCTTAGCAGGCCGGGTCGAGCCGGCCCTTTTTTTTTTTTTTAAATTCGTTATAAATCTATAATTTTTTATAATCTATTTAAAATTTGTGCAATTTATGTGTAATAAATAATAACTAAATATATATATAAAGAATACATTTAAACTTAAAAGAAAAATTAAAAAAATTAAGATTTTTTTTTTTAATTACTTAGTCACGGACCGGGCCGACGCCCCAAAATGTGGCTCGGCCCAAGCCTCGGCTCGGTGGAACCAAGCTTTTTCCGAGCAGTGCCCGAGCCGGCGAGATTTTTTGTTATCCTAACTAAAGCTGTCACAACAAGGATATTTTAAGCGTGTTTTCACCTTTAAACTTATTTATTTTTAACCCTTATAAATTAGTTATTTATTTTAAAACTTGATTATTTACTTTCAAGTAAATTTATTTTCCATCTACTAAGGGCTTGTTTGACAACATGAAATTTTCTAGAAAAGTTGGAATTCGTTTTCCATTTTCCACTTTTAGGCTGTTTTGTAGGCTAAATTTTCCATTGAATTCATTTTCCACCCTTACCTCATTTTTCACCCAATTCTTGGTTTTCCATGTACCATTTTTTTTTTTTGGGCAATTGGAATGGATTATATTCCCAATTGTAACATATTATATCATTTTAATTGACAATTTTCATGAAAAACAAAGTCAAACAAATGATATTCGGTAAGATAATTTTTTTTCCTATTGTAATTGGAACAAATTCTAGACCTAATGGTAAAAAGAATTATCACTTTAATGAATAATTTCCATGAAAAACGAAGTCAAACGGACACCAAACTTTCAATATTTTTTAGATGAAAAATTATACTAATCAAACACAATTTATTACAATTCTCAATAAAACAAATTTTAGGTAATTCAATTCCCAATAATTCATTTTCTTTCTACTCAAATTCAACATTTACAATCAAACGGCCCTATATTTTTGGATAACTCACCCTCTCACTTTTAAGTAGGTTTAAGGAAAATTAATTACATATGAGCATATACGTAGAAAATAGTGTTATTTTAGAAGGAACAAGCTGCTAAAAGATATAAACCTACCTTTCATTAGGTTTAGTTATCGTCATTAATCATATTAGAAGACTAACCCAAATTAAAATAATACGGGTGTAGTTTCCGCCAAATACCAAATAAGATAAAATTATCCTTATCCAGTATAATACATTGCACCAAACATGACCTACTGATTTCTTTTTTTCCCTTCTTATCATTATTTGTACTATATTGTAGGTCAGTGTTATGATGCTCTAAAACGAAGCAACTAGAAAGATAAGCAAGCAGTGCATGAACGAGTGGAAAATATCAAAATATAAGAGCAGCAATGGCACAACGAACTATAGTACTGTAGATGTTTACCTTCTCACTATAATAGAAAAGCATTGAGCCCACAAACCAATATTTCTTTCCATCTCAGAGTGAATGAATGATGAACTATGATACCATAGATATTCACCTTCCCACCATTAGCCGCGTTGAAATAGAAGGGTTAAGCCCACAGACAAAACCAGCCTTTCTTTCTGTCACGGTGTCAACAGAGCAGAAGAAACACCAGACAGACGAACTACATATACCAAACAAATGGGTTGAATCAACTGCATGAGATATTGCAGACAGGCATGGCTCGCCCATTCTCAAAGAAAATTGACAACTTTTAGGTAATGAAATCCGAACTGACAGCAATAACCAAAAAAATTCTTTCTTGTAGGAGTACAACGATAAGAGGATTGCCCCCGTTCATTACAATTCATATATGGCAGAAAATGATTTTAAGGGCTACGTTACTTAAAATGCTGATGTAACGAACTTTTTAGTATTTATATAATAAACATCTCAAAAACATAAAGAAAAATACAAGGGAATTGCACAGAAGATGGATATTGAGCTCTTAAGAAGCATGACTGTGATCATGACCATGGTGATCGTGACCATGGTGATCGTGACCGTGATCATGACCATGATGATCGTGATCGTGATCGTGACCCTCCTCTGCAGCAGCCTCAAAGGTCTCGCCAGCAACAAGGTCGGGTACATCATCATCATCATCTTGTTCTTGAGCTGCAGCAGGCACCTGCTTCTGGAACTGCTCTGCCAATTTCTTCAAATTCTCCAAGTTATCTGGACCTAAAGTATTCAGAAGAAACCTTCAGACAATCAAGTTTTTGCAATTAGTCCATCAAAACAAATATTAGAAGAAAACAAAACCAAACACAAACCTAATTGGTGAATGATTTGAGGAAGGACATCTTGCAATTCTGCAACAGAATCAAATAGAATGTCAGTTTAAATTTCGGGAGATAGAAGTAACAGTACAACAGAAACCACCAATAGGAAATCACACTTTCCCAGCATCTTTACCAGAGAGAGAGAGAGAGAGTAAATAAATAAAAAATAAAAAATTTCAAGCAGGAAGTCCCATTAGTAACTCAAATTCCCAAACACGAAAGAAATAAGCTATTTGAGACCAATCTGCTTATTTATTTTCCATCAGAATCTATGGGTAGACCAGAAGTCGAAATATGGTTACAGCTCTTATGTGTCTTGAACTAGGTAATTATCAATTTTGCAGCATTTTCTGGTTTTTATTACAATCGTCAATGTGAAAATTTCTCAAAAAGTCAACAGCCCATCTCAATCTAGAAGAAGTGTCAAGTATCCTTACATTCCACAAGTAAAATAAGAAAGATTAGTGTGTGACTCAGCTCGACTCAAATACTCCCCTATATGTCAATGACTGTCATGGAACTAAAAACAACAAGATCTATGTTTTCAAGAAGAGAAAAAAGAAGAGAACATACTCTTGGTCTGAGGAGAACCACTAACAACCCAAGTGTTGGCAGCAATAGATGCTTGAACTGAATAACAAAAGATTACAACAGTTAATAGAGGGTGGATAAACCAAAATAAGTCAAGTTGGACCAAATACAGATTTTCTAAATCATGGGAACCTTTAGGGTTAGTGAACTGGATTACTACATCCTCCTTGAAAATATTGACCTCCTCAATTGCTGGTATAGCATTCACCCCTATTCTTTTCAGGGTGCTTTGAAGTCTTTTATCATCTGTCGTCGTTGTCTTATGAACAGCCTTCTTCTTTCTGCAATTGTGAATATATATTTAATAACACTCTAAAAGGAGTCTACTCTGTTTGAGCTTAATAAAAAACCATTAAGTAATCCTCTATAATGCCAATGCAGCAGATAATTTATTAGACTATGGAATTGTATAACTTCTATAACAAAAGTGATGTTGTATTTGTTCGGTCAAAATTCAAAGAAAACTCAGTATCAAATATAAAAAAGTTACAAACCTTCTCATGGTACCCTTCCCCCCGGTTCGGACAGAACCAGCCATCTTCTTTAGCTTTTCCACATTCATCTGTCATAAAACAATATAGGAACTTAATCAATAAAGTCCATTTTTGCAATAAAAAACACTTATTTCGGTGCAAATTTGAAAAGGCCATATTTCAGAAAGAGCATAACTACCATTAGAGCACAAAAATTACTTCTCCCATAGAACTCATCTAACCACAATAAAACATATATTTTATACGAATACATAAGGAAAATAAAATAAAAAAATCAATAAAAACTCCAAACAAAACTAAATGAGAGGTAAAATGCCTGTTGCAAAGTATAACTTGTACCAAAACCTTCTCTTCATAAATGAAACACTGAGAGTACGTTAATTGCAACATAAACAGAATATGTTCCAAAGCAACCAAAATCTTTTTAATAAACAACACAGTCACTATCAACAGTAATGCTTCAGAATTTTTCTAAATGATAAGAGGGTAGAAAAGGTTATATTTTTACCCACAAGGACAAAAAATACCCAATTACCCAGAACAAATACAAGAAGAAAGCTTTCAAAAGAAAACAAATCCAGCAGATTAAACTTTGATGCAAAATCGGAGAAACCCAAATTGCTTTGAATCCTTAATAAACTACAAAAGGAGCCCAAAGCCCAATTTTCCAACCATTCAACTATAAGACACAGAAATTAAGCTACAAAACCATAATATGTACATTCATTGACATGAATCTATCATCAAACATGGTTCGATACTAAACCTCGACGTTTACACACAAAGCACACATATACGTGCGGAGAGATACGCGTAAATAATAGTTTCAATAGAAAAATCACTAAAAAAGCAAGATATACAAATATAAATTTCTATATCTCTAATAGAGGAGGGAAATAGGGGCTTCGGCTAATTACCTCTGCGAGCTGTGGAGAAGAAGAGGTGCTAAGCAAATCGAGAGTGGGGAAAGTTGAGAGAGTACGGAGTGGATAACAAATGAAACCCTAGGTCATTGTCATTTCATATGCGCGAATATTGAGGGGTACTTTGGGTATTTCGTTTTATTTCCTTGACAAAATGAAAGAGGCAATGTGAAATCACTGTTGATGCCAGATGTCCAAAAATTACATCGTCAACCATAACGACGCCGTATCTTCTAATTACATATATTTTCTTCTTTTTTTTTCTTTTCAGTTCTTACTTACAACCTGCGATATTTTATTTTCCTGTCGGGTTCAGAGCTGTTTCTGTTTCATTAATTCTTGAGGTTTGTCTATTTTCTTTCTTTCAATTCATGTTTTTTCCTTGTAGAGGTTGGCTTCAGAGTGTCTATTTCATTAATTCTTAACGTTTGTTTATTTTCTGTAGTTTATGTTTTTTTCCTTATAGCTGCTTCAAAACTGTCTGTTCAATTAACCTAAATAGACTTTATTCAACAAACCTAAATTATCTTCTTAATTTTGATGTTTTAGATAATATATAAAATTTTGATTCTTAAATTGCGTCTACGATGTTTTCCTGTTTGTAAAAGCTATGTTGTTGTTGCACGTGTGCAGAGGTACGATGTGCCTCACGAGAACGGAGGCACGCTGGTGCCGTGCACCAGTACCATGCCTCCGTACACGAGACAGAGACACGTCATGCCTCCGTCCGCGTGCACAGAGGTATGGTGTTTCGTACACCAGCACCATGCCTCCGTACACGAGAACGGAGGCACGACGTGCCTCCGTTCTCGTGCACATGCACAGAGACATAAGTGTGTCTCCGTACACTAGAAGGGAGGAAGGTCGTGTCTCCGTCCGCGTGTATGGAGGGAAGCTGCTAAGGCAACTATTGTCAATATATACAATATCAACATCGTCCAATGCAATTATATTCAAGGAGTGGATATTATTATTTTTTAACTTTCAGTTTTCTCTTTTTAATATGTACAATACATTGAGGAAGTTCTGTTAATCTTGATTCTCAAGAACAGCATAACTTCTCATAGTGCTAACAAATGACTTGCTTCATTGCAAATTTTATAGGTTCCAGAGACAAAGTATCAATTCTCTTGACAAAAATCAGTAGATTGAGCAGATATTGAATACTTACATGTCTCCACCTTCACAATAATTGGTCATGATGTATATACATTTTCCCTGAAAAATAGGGCAAATGAAAGGTTGTCTTAAGAATCAACTTCAGCTGCAGAAACTCTTAGACAAATAAAAATAATTTGTGGTAGCTGTCAATCTTGAACATACATATAAAGAAACTATACAATACCTTGCCCACCCAAGCATCTTTATATTCAACAATATATGGATGCTGTAGTTTTGTAATTAAACTCATCTGCAACAGAGAAACAAAATTTATTTTATTTAATGTAAAAGAACAGATTTGCCATTGTTTATTTCTTTTCATCTACCCCAACCAGTCCAGCCCAATAATACTCTCATTTTCTTCATAGTGGAGCTATGAATTAGACAAGTAAAACAGTTTCACCATAAAATAGCCTCCTACTCAGATTCTGATAACAAGCAGAGAGAGTTTTGGGTGAATGATTGTGTTTATGCTATGTCATACTTTTTCAAGGTAAAAAATAAGCCTTATTACAGGGTTGTGTCTCTTCTGTAGGTATGACATATAGTGTGACTTCGTGATAATGTATGGAATTCTGAAAGTTGATGTTTTACAGGAACCCCATGGTTGCTCTTGGGGAGTTTATTTCTTTCGGGAGGGATGTTTATGTCGAAATGAAAAATGGTCGGCATTTTTTTAGTCTAGAAGAAGGTTTTTTCCGAGGCTTATTTCAAGGTGTAAGTCGAAAAATGACAGATTCTGCTGCTTATTCTTCAAATCAGCAGTCCATTTTTACTACTCGCCACAACCACTAATAATCCACATACTGCTTCTGATTTATATTTAAATATTAACACTGCGCTAAAACTTATTCCCAAGAAACATCGAGGTCAACAACATTTATAATTTATCTCAACATTTGGTCTATCGTCATCAATTTTAAGTGTTACAAAATATAAAAAATTCAAAGATACGTTATAACTATTGTAACGAGCAAAAAAACCTGATTCAAGTGGTGTTCAATCACTAATTGGCTGATTGGTCTGAAGCGCTCAACAAAAAAGATTATCTACTCCATTTCACCAGGAACTACACTTGCAAAAGAAACGCATAACCTTGGTGCAATTAAAGCTTTCAATATTAAAGCATGTTGATATTGCTAAACACAAGGATACATGAAGAAGCACAAAACAAAGATTTTGCAGAAAAATAAATGGCTATTTGCCTACTTCTTTTCCACTCCGAACACTCCAAGCATAAACACTACAATCCACCAGAACCTGCCAAATAGCGTAAACCACAAAAATGTCAACCTAGCTTCCGAAGCTAGATATAACTACTTTCATGTTCCGCTTATGATTCTTGCATGAAATTTAAAAGGGGAAGGGTGGGAGTCACAGATGAAATAAAATTCAAAGCATGCTTTTACAAACAAGCAAGTGCAAATTGATGGAAACGTTTAAATGGATGAGTTTGCTTTATTATGCATGAGAAGAACGTGCTTGATCTCCATGCTGGAACTGTACGAGCGTGCCTTCGAGAATGGAGGCATGTCCTCACTCCGTCCCAAGCAAAGGCATGGAGGCACGCTCTGTCATGGAGGCATCAGCGTGCACCAGAGTGTCTCCTTGCTGGTGCTCTGCCACCATGCCTCAGTGCATGAGAATGAGAATGAACACTGTCCGCTTTACCTTAACAGTGTGCACTGAGGCACGACGTGCCTCTGTTCTCTTGTACGGAGCCGTGCATCCAGAGTGCCTCTGTCCTGGTGTAGTGGTAGTGTACCTCTGAGAATGAAGGCACGCTCCTAACGCAGCTGTAGTGCAAGAAGCCATTCACGTGCACGGATGTACGCAGGAGGCCTCCATACTGGTGCAGTGGTAGCGTGCCTCCGTGCACATGAACAGAGGCACGGATGAAGGCTGTGCACTCCGTCTTGGTGCAGTGGCAGCGTGCCTCCGTGCACGAGAACGGAGGCACGTCGTGCTTCCGTTCGCATGCAAGGAGGCACGCTCCTAACGCAGCCTCCGTGCACTTCCGTCCGCCTGCACGGAGGCATGCTACTAAGGCAGCAAGCCTCAGTGCATGACAACAAAGGTGCATCCTGCCTCCGTAAACTGCATCTTGCTTCCTCAAACTACATATCTTTGCGCAAACTACATATGTTTTTTCCTATTCTTTTCTCAAACCTACAACTTCTCTCTCTTACACAACTTTTCTCTCTTACACAAGTTTAGCAACAAAAAAAGGAAATGGTACTTTTTTACACATTTTCACTGCTTCTAGTCGAATTTTTGTAATTTTTATAACAAATGATAGGTTTCTACACATTCTTAATCATTTCAATTTCAATTCTACTTTTTTCAGACTAGCTATACTGTTACGTCTAACTAACTTTAAAGGGGTAAAAATGTAGATATATCTACACGCGAGAATATAATCATCTTTTGTGATTAAACTAATGATCTTCTATTAATAAATAATAAGCTCTATTGAGCAGATTATAAATGGAAAAGATAAAACTACAAAATAATTTACATAAAACAAAAATGATTACTTCAGTGTTTTAGGTTATGCTCTATTTCAGATATGAAATAAACAAAGGAAGCAATAATTAGCTTCAAGTAATGAAATTATCAAATCTAATGAACAAATAGCTATTAAAAATCACCTCATGTTTTCAGAACAATAATTTTTTATTATAGTAGTTTGGTACAAAGCTACAACTGCAGAGTGGCCAGTACTTGTTCAAGGCATCAAGCAATGTCAACATCTGTAATCAGTAATTTGGTATTGGATAAAATTGAACAAGCAAAGCAGTATAAATAATAGAACAGAGTTTGGTAACACTGTTATTACAAAAGAAAATAATCTTTTAATCAGATAATTGAAATCGATGATTTTATATTAAAAAAGACATGGAATTACATTATTAATAAAACTTACAATTTTAATCCAACAAATAAACAAGAAAAAACATTTCCAAACTACTGACTTCACTTTTTTCAATTGTTCTATCTTCGTTAACTTGTTTAGATATGGAAGTAATAGAAGTTAAAATATTAGTTGTGAGGGAATATTCATTCCTTTTTTTATCTGATTACCACCTCCATCTCCAGAAGATCTAAGGGAATATTTTTTATATGTTGTTATTTACCTTATGGATAGTACAAGCTGTGAATTACAGAAAAATCTTCGCAGAGAAATTTATGCTGAAAGAAGAGAAACTTGAAATTCACGCTGTTGAGAGTTATATGCCCAATCAAAAGAGTTGCGGAGTCTACGACGACAAGAAAATGATGGTCAACCAACACTTACACATAATCGAAAAAAGAGAATAGCACAACAAGGTGTTTATAGAAATTTATTTATAGTGCTTGTTGAGAAAACTTTTTTGAAATGTTGAGTTTGTGTATTCTATATGAATGTAATTGATGTAGCTAGCTATGCTTATTATCGTTTTGTTGTAGTTATTATTGTCTTTGATTGCAGATACATCTGTAGAATCTATCTTTACGGTTTCTGAAATAGGTAAGCATTTTTTTTCCTACTTCCAT